TGTGCTCTCCATGGGTGGTTGGTTCCCCGAAGTGACATTCCACCCCTATCTTCGGAACTGCACGGCGAGGCAGTGGGAGCAGCCCACCAAAAGGAAACAGGAGAAAGTCGCGAGAAGAGTCGTCGTTCGGACGTTGCAGTCGGACATGTTGCAAACAAACGTCTTGTTAAGTTTTCCTCTAAGCCGGTCCCTCTGCCTCAGCTTTCTGGAGTTCTGAACGTCCCCGTGGCCTGCGGAATGACGACCACCACCCAGCTCTATGCTACCTACTGGGCCCGCTGCGGGCACCGACGCGGCTCGTAACAACTGGATGGCAGCGACGGGATTCTGCTCATGCCAAGTCGCAACAAGCTCGGGCCAGCATCGGGATCGTCTCCGCTGAGATCATGGCTGCAGGGTGTGGTGAGTGCTTGACTTTTCTTAACTGAGATTTTACCAGGCTTTATCTAGAGTTTTGTAGGAAACGTGGTAAATTTGGATAACTACTCTACGTTGACCTGTGCATGGGAACGCAGCGTCCTAGTAGTAGTGAAATTAGCAGCACTTGTAGCAACCATGAATCTGAAGGCACTGAAAAAACCGCTTTTGCTAGAGTTAGCTAAAAGTTTGGACTTGGATGTTCGTGAACAAATGAGATGATGATTGACTGATTGACATGTGGGGTTTAACGTCCCAAAACCACCATATAATTATGAGAGACACCGTAGTGGAGGGCTCCGGATATTTCTACCACCTGAGGTTCTGTAACGTGCACCCAAATCTGAGCACACGGGCCTACAACATTTCCGCCTCCATCGGAAATGCAGCCGCCGCAGCCGGGATTCAATCCCGCGACCTGCGGGTCAGCAGCCGAGTACCTTAGTCACTAGACCACCGCGACGGGGCGTGAACAAATGAGAAAGCCAGAGATTATCGAGGCTATTGAGAGTCTTAACGCAGACGACGACCAGCTCTCAGAGTGTCTAAAGCTGATAGACGAACATGAAAGGCGCAAAGCTGACGAGAGAAATGAGAGGCTCATACGCGAAGCAGCAGAAAGGGATCTTGAGATGAAGCGCCTTGAAATCGAGCTGCTCAAGGCTCGAGGTTGTAGTGAAGGTAGCGAAGCAACTAGCGGAGTAGAACGGAAGTCGATCAGGATGAAAGACCTAATGCAACCTTACCACTCCGGAGAGGACATGGGTCTGTTCTTGGTAAATTTCGAGCGCACATGCGAGAAGACGGGTGTTACCAAAACGATGTGGCCGCAGTGCTTGCTTACCCTACTACCCTGTCAGGCTGCCGAGGTAATTGCCCGCTTGACAAAAGAGGAAGCAGATGAGTACGACCAAGTTAAGTCGAGTCTGCTAAAGAAGTATAGATTGTCGGCGGAAGCATTCAGGCAGAAGTTCCGGAACACCGTAAAGCAGAAAGACGAGTCGTATGCTGATTTCACATACAAGTTAATGTCTAATATGAGGGAGTGGCTCAAAGAGGCTAAGGCGTTCGAGCATAAAGAGAAAATCGTGGAGTGCTTCGGACTCGAGCAGTTTTACCGTCGTTTGCCCCAAGCCGTTAGGCTCTGGGTGCAAGAGTGGGAGGAAGTAACCACTGTGTCAAGGGCCGCGGAGCTAGCGGAGGATTTTGTTTCGCACCGCGCGCTTGGTAGAAGTGAAATCCCCCAGCGGGAGGGCCAGATCAAAAAGGCAACTGGGTGGAGGGGACATTCAGTCCAAGAGAATCGAGAGCGCAACACTGATCCCGAAAAGCAACGGGAGGTAAGTAATGAGACCCCGGTTGAGGAACAGAACCAAAACAGTGCGTTTGAAAGGAGGCGACCACTTGTGTGCTATAAATGCCACAAGCCAGGTCACATTGTGGCCGTCTGCAAGAGTCCAAAAGTTGTTTGCCTCTCAGTTGACAGCGAGGGTGAAAACAGGCGACTGCTGGAGCCATATATCAGAGAGCTGATAGTAAATGGAAAAGAGTGTCGCGTGCTGCGGGATTCAGCAGGGACAATGAACGTGGTCCATCCCTCGTATGTTGAAGCTGAACATTTCACAGGAGAGTGCGCTTGGATTAAACAAGCAGCGGAACCATCAAGCGTATGCGTTCCGATTGCTAAGGTATGCATCGAGGGCCTCTTTGGCACATTGCACACAGAGGCTGCGGTATCTGCTTATTTGCCAATGCAGTATGCATACTTGTTTTCAAACAGATCCGATTGGTTGCTAGGACAGAAGAACCTAGCATACGGTGAGGGGGTTGTGTGCGCGCTCACTCGCTCAAAGGCACAAGAACTCGCAACTGGAGCCGCACTGCTCGATGTTCCTCCGAGAATCACCGAGAAAGCCGGAGATGGAGAGCCCGTGAACAAGGTAGACACGATTACCACACCAAGCGCTGATAAAGTGAGTGATGAAGCTGAGGATGAAAACGAGGAAGACCCTCTTGAATCTGGAAGTGTCTGTGAGGGAATGATTACTCCTGCATCTAGTAGCCTGCAGACTTTGCTGGGAGTGGATCGATCGTCCCTTATAGCGCAGCAAAGAGCAGACCCCACTCTTCAAAATATAAGGAGTCAGAGTAATGAGGGTATTTCAAAGAAAAACGTGATATATCAGAACAGGGCCGGGATACTTTATCGTAAGTATCTAGATCGCAGACGGGTGCAGTTTGATCAGTTAGTGGTACCGGAACGTTACCGCCGTGATCTTTTACACTTAGCTCACGGTAGCTCAAGGTGGGGTCACTTGGGTGTCAAAAAAACGAAGGATCGCCTGCTGCAGGAATACTATTGGCCGGGTTGTTTCAGGGAAATAGAGAATTTTGTCAGAACCTGCGACACCTGTCAGCGTGCAGGAAAACCAGGGGATAAGGTTCGTGCCCCAATGAAGCTCGTGCCGGTGATCACTGAGCCTTTTCGTCGACTCATGATCGACACAGTAGGGCCTCTTCCAACAACAACATCCCGTTACCGTCATGTCTTAACAGTAATTTGTCCTGCGACCAAGTTTCCTGAGGCAGTGCCTTTAAAGGAACTGAGCTCGATAGAAGTGGTAAACGCGCTGTTGTCTATTTTCGCACGCGTTGGTTTTCCCGCTGAAATACAGTCCGATCAAGGGACCGTTTTTACGAGTGCACTGACTACAACTTTCTTAGAGAAATGTGGAATCCGATTATTCCACAGCTCGGTGTATCACCCCCAGTCAAACCCAGTAGAAAAGTTACACTTGGTAATTAAACGCGTCCTTCGAGTGCTCTGCTTCGAGCGCAAAGTCGACTGGGATGTGTGCTTGCCAGCAACCATGTTTGCGCGCAGGACTGCACCTCATGAAACCACTGGATTTACCCCGGCAGAATTGGTCTACGGTCGCTCTCTGCGATCCCCACTCCGTATTCTTCGAGGGTCATGGGAAGGTCGAGTGGAGGACCCTACGGTGGTTGAATATGTGCTAACTCTGCTAGAGAGGTTGCATAGAGCACAGCAGCTGGCAGGGGATGAGATGAGCAAGGCACAGGCTCGGGTCAAACGCTACTACGACAGGTCAGCAAGATCACGCCGGTTTGAAGCTGGAGATCAAGTAATGCGGCTGAAACCTTCACCAAAGAATAAGCTAGATGTCCAATGGGAAGGTCCGGCGGAAGTCGTTCAAAGGCTGTCCGACACAAACTATCTGCTAAGGATGCCAGGTAGACGTAAGACGCAGCAGATCTACTACAGCAATCTGCTCAAACCATATCGAGAGAGAGAGGTTGTTGTAAACATGGCGGTAAACGTGCCCGAAGAGCCACCACTAGATTTCCCCTTTTCGGGAGCGGAAAGAAAGGAGGATAACGCTGGTCAAACGCTCAAGGCCATGGTTGAAGTAGCTGAGCTCACAGCTAACGAGAAGCGTGACCTAGAAAGCCTCCTGATAGAATATGAAGAAATGTTCTCGGAGAAACCGGGCCGAACAAATTTGGTAGTGCATGACATAGAGCTTACGGCCACTCAGCTCGTGCAGTCAAAGGCGTATCGAGTGTCGCCGCGTCAGCGCGCCATTATTGAGGCCGAGATTAAAAGAATGCTCGAGCTTGATCTGATTGAAGCTTGTGAAAGCGATTATACTTCTCCGCTTATAGTAGTGGAGGTTCCTGGGAAAGATCTGCGACCACGCGTTGATTACCGGAGGTTAAATCTCATAACGAAGGATCAGACCTACCCCATACCAAATATAGAGGAGAGAATTGAAGCAGTAAGCAGTGCTAAGTACATCTCTACCTTCGACCTCGTTCGGGGTTATTGGCAGGTGCCCCTGACTGAAAAAGGGCCAGCAGATATGCGGCGTTTATTTCTCCCATAGGAACATACCGCCCTAAGGTGTTGAGCTTCGGCTTAAAGAATGTCCCCTACTGTTTCTCGGCTCTCATGGACGAGGTATTGCAGGGTTTAGAGGGGTTTGTCCTGCCTTATCTGGATGATGTAGCAGTGTTTTCAGGGTCATGGTCAGAACATCTCACCCACTTGCGAGCAGTGCTTCAACGTTTCCGCGAAGCAGGTCTAACCGTGAAGGCTCGGAAGTGCCAACTTGGCCGAGCAGAGGCTACTTACCTGGGTCACATAGTGGGGCAAAGCCACCGCAGACCTTCCGATGTCAAAGTGGCGGCAGTTATATAAGGCTTTACCTGCGACCTCAGAATATCAAAATTTATACGCGTCATAGACTGCTGCTGTAATATTGTGAACTTTTAAATAAGCCAAAGTTTTTCGGTTAGAATCAAGCCTGGAAATACTAAATCTCAATGCAATTACAATACTTAGTTGAAGACATTGGTGATTCGGTATAACACATCAGTTTTAGCTTTACTACAACGCAGCTAATACTTAATGTTAATCACATCATTCTTTACATTACATATCTATACTGCAATAAAGCTTTCTAAATGAAATTCCTTATTATGGAGTGTAAACAACACAATCGGAGACTACTGTGGTACAAAATAAAAACCAAGTCAAGAAAGCACATATAATATAGACATACACAAGTGCCAACCTCCAAATGTTTATTTGATTTTTCCCAACAGCATTTTGATAAGTCTGCAGCCACATGTGGTGAGCATTCATCACGAGACCTAGAAACTAAGAATCCTTTTACACGCTACAACATATTGACATTGATGAATTTCAGAGAGAGAAGATAAAAAGAAGCTTGGCGAGACAAAATGAAGCAAGTGCACCCTATGTGAAAACAGAAAGTTTGACCAGCTTTCACAGATGACAATGCAAGATGTGTACAGCCGATACAACTTGATTGATTGATTTGTGGGGTTTAACGTCCCAAAGCCACTACTTGATTATGAGAGACGCCGTAGTGCAGGGCTCCGGAAATATTGACCACCGATACAACTTCAACAGAGGATAGAGAAAAAAATCAACAAAGTCAACTTGCTGGGGAAACAGGGGAAAGAACAGGACAGAAGAAGAGAGACAAACCGCAGCGCTGTGTTTGGTCCTTTCTTTTTGTCTATCCTTTTCTTTCCGCTTATTCCACAGCAAGTTATAAACAAACTGGCCCAAATGCATATGCACACCCCAAGTTAGATCACAACAAATGCAGGGTCAGAATTCAACTACAAAGGACTGAGAAAAAAATGGCAGGACATCTCAAAATTGCAAAAGACAATAAACAATTTCTATACATGTAGATGAGCAATTCATAGTTATACAATATGAAAGTTGCTCATTAGAAATTAAGATGGGAAATCAGAAGGCAGGAGCAAGCTGAGGGCAAAGAAACTACGCCACTTTTAACCACGGCCTATCCAATAACCTAAAGAAACCTTTAGGCTGATATGGATAGAGCATAATGCAATCTGGCAAGAATTTGCTCTTTGATTGCTAAGAACCTTGTCACTTACTCAACGAAATAAGTCGTAAAGTTCACTGAATGTGTCTGCAGCTGAAGGTAATCTATTAAAGTCTTTCTGTAGACACACATATGTAGGGTCAGATGTTGCAGCGGAAACAAGAGGCTGTGAGGGCATACATAATGTGTCAAAAATAATTCTGAAAATGACCTTTAGGACTGCTACAAGCAATGCAAATGCTTTCCCAAATTTCGCAGAACAAGAATATTGTCACTCTGCCATGATAAAATGTTTGAAACAAAAATCTAAACCTACGATGCTTCTATAAGATTCTTGGGCCTCAGGAAAATGCATTTCTGTGCTAGTGTTTTTAGTATTTCGATGACATGTGTTTCTAGATCACGCAGTAAAAAAAAACGGTGCTTTGACTCTAGGCACGGTGTCAATGTAAAGACAACAGCAAGACAACAAAAATTCTTGAAACCTTCAAAACAGCCAACTCCCGATGCATTCCCTGTAGCTGGATTCACAAACTGAAAGAATGCTGATCAAGAATTTGCCTAACAAGAGAATTCTGAAGGAGGATAAAAATACAGTGCACCAGCAATGCAGCCTTCAGTCGACGTCAGTCCACGACCAAATCAACACAAAGGCTGGAAAGCAGCCGGAAGTGGAGAGGCGCCATCTCTAGATTATTTTTCAGGCGCCCAAGCATCGCCTGTACCAGGGCTCACAGTTTAAGAGTCATTCAGAAAAAAGAGAAGGAAGCTTTCACCAATATCTCGCCTCACAAGAAAAAGACAATGAAGAGTTGACTGCTTTGATCAAGTGAAACACGACCAACACATTCCCTTTGCTGCAAAGGAAAATTATTGAGCTCTTTGAAAAGGCAGTCTCAAAACACTGAGCAATGAATTGTTTCAACAAACTACTCCATTACCACAAGTGGCACTCAGATCAACCTAGGTTCTTTTAAGGCTTTGTACACAGCCAAATACGAAGGGAGCCACAAGTGCAGAAGGAAGTGTTGATGTATTTATTGACTACAGTTGGGTCCCCACTATGCGGATGCAGAGTGAAGACTTATGATGGAGCTGCCAACCAGAGAGAAGAGTTGAATGGCTGTCAAGCCCTTATAAAATCTCAAAACCCGATTGCCAGTTACTTCCCTTGTAGAGTTCACAGCTGCACTCTTGTAGCTCGTGGCCTCTCTGAATGCTGTGCAGAACTTTCCAGATGCTTTTATAGCTGCTAGGAAAACTGGGCACACTCTCATGAATGTTAGGGAAATTGGGTCCAATCTCAGCACATTTAAACAGATTTATAGTAAAAAAAACTTTAGCATGGACATCAAATTCCAGTGTACACTGCGTTTCTTATGCAGAAAGCCAGCTATACGTGCTGCACTGAACAAGCAAGAGGTCGTAAATGCTTCCTCAGGAGAAATGAAGAAAGAAGCTCCAGCAAAGCAATCTGCAAATATTGGTGAACTTTCTTGCTTAATGGAATTCGGAAACGCCGTCCTTCTTCTAGAAATCGCTTTGAGTGTGTTTTCGGTGCTTGAGAACCTGAACACAAGCCTACAACAATTTTCATTAGGGGTTATCCTAACGTTCCTGGTTGTAGAGTATGTCAAGCATGAGTTACGCCATTTGCGGTATGAAGAAATGTTTCATGAACTGTTAAAAAAACATGCTGCTAAAGTCGCGTAGAATGGTAAGGTACATTCAGTGAATAAGCTTATATACAGACGGTGTCCAACCAAGTGTGAGAAAGGGAGCACATGTGTCATTCCGATCAAAGCAGAGAATACTTTCGGTGCATATTGTTTCAACCATGGATGGCACACTGTCAGGCAGAGAGAGGCGCTTTAATCTCGACTCAAAAAGACCTGCCATGTACAAGGCACTGGAAAGTTTTCTTTTAAATATGCTATTGAAAGCAAATGTGGAGGTGACGCAACGCTACAAGGACATTGACTCCAACAAAGTCGCATCTCTCGTTAGCTTATTGCATGAAGAGCACCCAGAACAGAGTTCTGTCGACTGCGTGGTGGCAATAATTTGTAACATGCATGAGCCTACTGGCCAGTACTCAAGGAGATAGAGTGTGCTTCAGGTCATCGAGTGAATGATCCCTCATTGCCGTCAGAAGACCAAAGACATTCCTGTGAAGCAAGACGGGAAAAACACAGCTAAGCTGCATGGCACTGGCACACGTTCATCAGGACGTAGAAGACAGCATAGAGTTGCCGAAGCTGATCAGCAAATTTTTCAATGCATGCAGTAACCGAGTGCTAGTTTTCAGACCACCACAAACATTACCATCCGGGAACAAGGTTCTTAATGGTTAAGCAAACTGGAAGCGTGGGGGTAAACACAGAAACAAAGCAAAGAGGAGGCACACAGCAAGCTAGGAAACTTTTCTTGTAGTTAGCGTGATGATGAAGAGCAATACCAGGTTTAGGGCACGCGGGCAGTCAGAGCAAAATAGAGAAAAAAGAATAGAAAAGCCGGTGAAGGAATCGGTGCTGTTTCTGTCTCGTTCATTACAATAGTATGAGTACTAGTGATTATTGTAGTCTAATGCTTTCATCATCAGGATCATTTCACAAGTGTCTCACTCAAGGGGCACATTGTGCGATACATTCACCTTAATTTCTCTGTAAGTAGGGCACTGCTGCTGATAATATTGCATTTTTGTACGTTGTCATACATTGGGCTTTCACTCTGACAAAATGTCATTTGCCTTCTGTGTCCCTGTAACTGCATTATAAACCTAATATATGCATATTAGGAATGCTTATTTTAATCCAGGCTTCCTTGTGCTAGCGGCATTCGAATGCACACAGCAGAGTTCACCGGCAGCATCTCGGCGTCCACCAAGAAACGTCAAATGGGCCCAGAGCAGGTCTGCTCAGTGCTGTTGCCTTGAGGCGTTGGTTCGACGAACATTGAAAAAAGAACAAAAGTGATCTTGTGAGCCGAAACCACATGGCAACGCATCGCGAGAGAGAGAGGGAGAGAGAGAGACTCAAGACTCGAGTGGCATTGGACAAAGCCAAATGACCTCCAGCATCGATCCTCGTTTTCTTCTACAATTAATTGCTGCCGATTCTCCTGTAACTTCAGCACAATACAGTTTTCTTCGTTAAAAAGAGACTTTTCTACGTTGCAAACATGTACCATTCAGAATCTTTCTCACTCATGCTGTACAGTGCCTGTAAAAATGTTTATTTTGATGCAATTCCTAGTGCAATAAACTTCATTATATTGAAGCTTTTGAGTAGCTTTCTATATGCACTTTCAAAGTGCTGAATTCTGACAGCCCATGTAACCCCTTAACTGCTCATTTTTTAAAAAAATTTCCGTTCACAAAGTGCTTAGTTTTTTATGTTGTTGATTTATATTCCGTGTCTACTAACAGTACCTAGTAGATTTAAAAATATTTTTACCACATACTTCGTCAAATCAACGGAATAAAGTTTATTTCTTACAATACACAGGAAACCAGCTATCTGCTGCTAATAAGATTAAAAACCTTATAAATAATAGTTACAGAAGCTACAGACCACCAAATGGAGGGAACACCCACCAAAAAATGTCACAGTGGTGTACGATGAGACGCGGATGACACACGGCCACGCATCCCACATCGGCGTGGGCACCGTCATTGAATTCTACACCGGATTGACAGCATTTTTCTGTCAAATTACTGTCATGAATGTGCTGTGGGCCCCAAAACAGGTGAACACAACTATAGTGACTCGAAAGAAGCGCATGTTTGCCAGAAAAACACAGAGGCAAACTCGGGCCAAATGAAAGTTGATGCGGCCCGCATACTGTTTTGCCACTTTCTATTAAAAATTACCTGCACTACACGAGCATAGTTTCTGATGGTGACAGCCGCAGTTTTTTAGTTCTGTGTCAGGAACAGACTAACGGTTCTATACCGCTGAAAAAAAAATTTTATCAATCGTGGTAAAAAAGAGGATGGGCACAGCCCTGCACGCACCTGTCACAAAGAGCAAGAAGGACCGGCCTATTGGTGGGAAAAAATGGCCACACAAAACTTGAAGATATTGACGGCTTATTATGGCCAAGCCCTAGGGCAGCATGCTGAAAAGGAAGATATGCATCGAGCGGTCATGGCTACATTGTACCACACCACATCGACTAACGAGGACGTACACCACAAACTTTGCCCACCAGTTCCCGATAGGTGCTACAGACACCGGGCTGCCGAAGCTGAAGGTGTACCACAGCCACCCCATAGATATCACCTCGGACGACATGTAGCTGCTGACCAGCAACTTTCGGATCCACAGCTTCTTGAATCGGGTCAGGGTATAAAAAAACTCTGAAAGATGCCATAGGCCTGCACTCAGTTATTTGGTCTATTATGCCCAAAAAGTAGCATAATTCACTGATAGCTACAGAAACTGCAGTCAGTGAAGCGATATGCAGGTATGATGCGGGAAACCTCCATGCCTACACCCAGCTTTGCACCTCTTTTGGTCGTCAACTTGGACCCTGTGCACGCCGCAGAGAAGCTGAAAAAGGCACCATGTGAAAAAAAGAAAGGCTGCAAAAGCTCACCAGGCTAAAGGGCAGATGGCCAAGCGTTGGCGCACCGCTAAGGACAACAAGGACTACAACCCTTGAGCCTAATAAGCATGCAACATGATGCAGAATTTTGAATATTATTTTCTCATTACATTTCTTTTTGGCATGCTGCTCGGCTCGTGGAACAGATAAGTTGGCAACTGCCTTTAAGGATATTGATACCTTATAAAAAAACTCGAAATTATTAAACTGCCAGCATATTTACTTAAGTGTTTTCTGCCTATCTGACCAACTTTAAGCAGTTTGTTGTTCTCAATATAACTTTTCCGGTGAACTTCCCGTTACTTCAGGAGTCCCAAAGAGCAGTATTCTTGGACATTCACTATTCTTAATTTACATTATTGACATCACTAAAACTACAGGGCCAGAACAAATCACATTCATCGCCGATAATTGTGTAGTGTTCAATGAATTATTTACGGAGACGACCAAGTTGCACTTATATCTAGCCTTCAAAACATCGTATCCAGGTGTGGTAAATGGAATATGGAATATATAAACTATGGAAGCTGCCATACTTGCATTCAAACGTGTTTTTGGTCACGTAACATACGATAAGCTGGAAGGTGCCGTTTTCGATATTTTCAGAATACGGCATGCAGGGTAACGTAGCCTCCACGGTAACCAACAATAGATTAAACTGCATTAGGCCATTTAGGTAAATCTTTGAAACTAAATAACCTTAATGGAAATATTTAGCCATTTCTTGTGCTATAGTTGCATTATTAGTGCTCAAATATTTTTCTGTCTTTCAGAGTGTGTTTAGCTAAAATGAGACAAATTAGACAAACGAAGCAGGCGATTAAAGTGAAATCCAGCCAGTAGAACCTACAAGCATTTTGAACCCACCATAAGGGCCTAAATGTGTGCTTCCTCCGCACGTTAAATGTACGCACAGCTCGCACACTGAACATAATTGCAACCTCAGAGTCCGCTGCCGCTGAACTCGATGCCTGATGTTCACGATCAGCGAAATTCGTTTTAAAGAAATGTTCTGCCGTTCCCAGCAGGCAGCGTCAGTTGAACATCTCAGCCAATGTATTGAAGAGCCCCTAAGCAGTCTACCTGTGACAGCCACTACCAATGAAATGAAGTTCGCTTCATGCTGCTGTGGAGAAGCTGCATAGCATAAGGAAAGAAATCGATTGACTGTTCTGCATTTTGAAACTGCAGGGCTTACACCGGCCTGCGAGATACAAATCTATAGAATACTGCAATGTAAAGGCCTACCTCCTATTGATGAATGAATGGGCACAGCCAATCGGGGAAGCTTTTAAGCTGCAAGCTGCAACGCGCCAAAGCTTCAAAAATATACCTAGCATGCTAGGTGTAGGTGCAACAGCTTCAGAGCCAGCTGTGTGCTTAGCCTCGGCTGGGCACACATTAACATTAAGGGCTTTAAAAGACCTTCACATTTTCATAAAAAAGTGGCTTTATGGCCCTCAAAAAATCTTTTTCCCAGCAATGCACTACTGCTTTAGAGTTAAGCTGACTTTCTCCCATTGGTTGCAGCAATGGATACTAAAGAAAATGCGACTCCAACGGGTACCGATAATGCTGAAATGTTCTACTGTAAAAAGCAAAGCTGAAGTGTCTACACTTTTTTATTTGTGCCTAACCACATGTTGCAGTTAACTAACCAAGCAGTAAGGTTGGCGTTTCTGTTTCGGCTCCTGTGGGCAGTTGGTTCTGAATATTTACGTTAATTCATCAAATCTGTTCAGATTGCCGCATGCGCCTGTCCTCGTCCTGCTGCTCTTTTAATGTGAAAAAGCAAAACTTATCTCATTCACAGGTCACGAAGCTGCTCTTCTATTTTGGACGTAGTTACACAACAGGATCACACGTTTATTGGTGACCTGCTTCAAACACTGGCTGTCCTGGAGAAGCGGAAAAAAAAATACGAGGCTAAGAAGAAACTGACATATATTGTGGCCCTCTAGCAAGTGCCGTTTACGACAGGATTGAAAAGAGGTAAGTGATGTCGCATCAGAGTTGTAATAGGTTCCTTTATCTCATGAATGGTTTAGGGCTGCAAGTGTTGACACCTCCGTGGAATGCTCAAGCTGGTTGCCACTAGTTCCTCATTACCATAGTTTAAGCCATCATTGATCCTAGACAGTTCTATGCGAAATCAGGTGACTATGAATATAAAAACAGAGCTGGCTGGAGAGATCGAACCAGCAAGGCCAAACGTTGCCAGTGACTACCTGCTGTCGCATATTAACTTAAAGCAACTGAAAGAACTTTCCTCAAGTACAACAAGGTAGTACCTTCAAGCGTTTTCGGTATAACAAGCATTTGCCTATGCAGTCATCATCATCCTCATCAGCCTGACTACGTCCACTGCAGGACAAAGGCCTCTCCCATGTTCCGCCAGTTAAACTGGTCCTGTGCTTGTAGCTGCCAATTTATACCCGCAAACTTCTTAATCTCATCTGCCAACCTAACCTTGTCTCTCCCTCACCCGCTTCCCTTCTCTAAGAATCCAGTTGTTACCCTTAATGACCAGCGGTTATCCTGTCTACTTGCTACATGCCCGACCCATGTCCGTTCCTTCTTTATTTCAACTATGATATCCTTAACCCCCGTTTGTCCCCTAATCCACTCTGCTCTCTTCTTGTCTCTTAAGGTTACACCTACCATTTTTCTTTTTTTTTGCTCGCTGCGTCGTCCTCAATTTAAGCTGAACCCTCTTTGCATGTCTCCAGGTTTCTGCGCCGTAGCTAAGTGCCGGCAAGATACAGCTGTTATATACCTTCCTCTTGAGAGATAGTGGCAATCTACCTGTCATAATTTGAGAGTGCTTGCCGAATGTGCTCAACCCCATTCTCATTCTTCTAGTTACTTCAATCTTGTGGTTTGGCTCTGCAATTATTACCTGCCCTAAGTAGACATAGTCTTTTACAACTTGAAGTGCACTATTACCTATGTCGGAGCGCTGTTCTTTTCCGAGGTTGTTGTATATTACTTTCGTTTTCTGCAGATTAATTTTAGGACCCACCTTTCTGCTCTCCTTGTCAAACTCGGTAATTATGAGTAGCAATTCGTACCCTGAGTTACTCAGCAAAGCAATTTCATCGGCGAAGCGCAGGTTACTAAGGTACTCTCCATTAACTCTTATCCCCAACTTTTCCCATTCAAGGCTTCTGAAAACCTCCTGTAAGCACCCAGTAAATAGCATTGGGGAGATTGTGTCCCCCTGCCTTACACCCTTCTTGATTAGTATTCTGTTGCTTTCTTTATCAAAGACTATGGTAGCAGTTGATCCCCTGTAGATTTCTTCCAGAATGTTTATATACAC